CGGGGCGGGGCCGCTGGCGCCGTTGGGGCCGTTGGGCGGCGCGCGCCGAGGTGCGAGGGCGGCGGTGCCCGTGTCCTGCCCGTGGGGGCGGCGGGCGCCGAGCCCCCGTGCTCAGGGAGAAGTGGAGCGAGGCCAAGCGGGATGGCCCGCAAAGCGAAGGGGAGCGCGGCGGGCGCTGGGCTGGCCCCGGCAAGAAGTACAAAATAGCGTTGTTGGGCTTTATATATGTAAAAATACACAAATAGTATAAATACCCCAATATATAAATACACAAATTACATATATTTTTCCCCTCTTTGTGCTGTGAGGAATGTTTTTGCCCTGAGGAATGCCTCAAGCCGTCCTTCCACAAGCGGGTTGCCCGCGCTGAGGTTTCGCCTGGCAACGCCGGCGGAGAAACACCTTCCAAACAGGAAGGGCGGCTGGCAACGGCGGGCGAGGGCAAGGGGGAAGAGGCGCCGCGGAGCCGCCGCCGGGCGCGGGGGAGAGGGGCCGGGCGCGCGGAGCGGCGGCCGTTGGTGGCGGTTGCGCCGCGCCGCGTGAGGCGGCGGCCGCGTGACGCTCGGCGCAGCGTGGGGGGAGCCCCGCTCCGTGCCCGTAGGCTCCAAGTACCCCCCTCCCCGGCACATGAGATGGCTCCGGGATTGCTTGTAGCGTCCCGGGCTGGAGGAAATCCAGCGCCTATAAATAGCCCACCAAAAAGAGCTGCAAACTAGACAAAAGTGGGAATGCCTGGGATGGAGGCAGGCAACCTGAGGGTCACACCACCCTGGCATGGGGAGACAATCCCCTTCCAGCCCTGGCTTTGATTTGCGCTGTCTAGAGGTTGACGTTAGGCTTAAATTTAGAAAATCCAGCATTTGGTTAGCATTCACTGTTTTGATTTGGGACATGTTGTCATGTTCCTGAATGTAGATGTAAACATCTAACCCCTTTCTGGATTTCAGTATTTCTTTTTCCTCTTGGCTCCTGACTGAGACAAGTGTCACAGCTCGCTTATGTTTCTACAAAAATATTCGCTCACCCATCCTGAGCTTGCCACCAAGTTCCCGTTCTTGTTCAACGAGACTGGAAAGCAGGTGTTGCCATGCTTAGTTCTTGGCATTATTTACTACTCTTTTGACTTTTATATACATATATATATATGTATATATACATATTGGTATGTATACATGCATACACATACAAATATATTTATATGCACACATGCACACATATATATGCCTTTTCCTCAAAATGTGCCCGTAGGCAGAGGTGAAATCTCCTTGTCCATATTTTTTTTCTGAGATGCAATGCACAGTAGTACACTGTTCCAGAGGAGAAAATGATTTTCTTTGTATAGATGTACTCTAATGCTTGATATTAATCAGGATGTTATTTATTCCGCCTGTGTTCCAACAGCTTGTTTGTCTCCCGACGAGAGCTTCATGTGGATTAGAGAGATCACTTGGACATTAACACAAATGGCCAGTTTCTGCTTTTTGCTTCATGTAAATAAATTACATCTCGTCAGATGCAGAAGCAGAGCACATATTCTCCCTAACACGCATTATTTTGCACCGTCACCGCTGTGCTCGGCTCGCCATCGTCTCACGGTCCGTGCCGTTTTGCTAGGGTTTCCTCGGCCTCGCAGTCCCCCTTGCCTTGCCTAACTGCGGCAATTACGGCAGCTGCAGATTTCGCGGCTCTCCAGCACAATGTTCCTCCCAGATCAATAGCGAACGTGGTGACAATGGGAGACCCGTGGCCTGCAACAGGCCATCCCCGACCTCCCGCCACCGCAGCGACTCGCCGCTGAATCCCGCTCTTTGTTTCCCGTCCCCAGTTTTTGAGGCGCGATAGCGCTTTTCCTCTTGCCCAGAGATTACTTAGCCGCTTGAGTCATCTCTGGCCTAGGGACTTAATCAAAGGCCTTTTGAAAGGCTCCAAAGTGTGGACTAGCCCGCTGGTGTCTCATTGGTTTGGGGGTGGAGTTTTTTGACACTTTTGAAGAAATCTAGTGGGTAGATCAGCTGGAAATTGCTTTGCTTTGCAGAGAGCCTGCTCAGGCCTAATTTCACATGTAGAGATATCCTCCTGTTTGCTTGCTTTTTATTTATGTTTACTTTCTGTGACTCTTTCAAGCAAAGAAAACGCACTCTAAGCACTGCGGCAATTGAGGGCATTTCTGTGGCCTCCCGTTGGACACATCAATGGGGCGTCGATATGTCAGACACAGGCTTTAACAGCAGCGCAGGTTAATTAGCGCTCTCTCTCACACCAGGCTCCTGGTCCTCCCGACAAACACGCTGTATGAACAACATCCCTTCATGCTGGGGGCTCCGGTCAGTCCTTCCCTTGAGGGATCCGGACCTGGAGCAGAGGCCCGAACAGCCCCACACTGAGGCCCCTCTAGGCTGTGTCCCTAAGAGCAGCACATTCTTGCTGACATAAGGACATGCTGTTCTCCTAGCCTGGCATTCTGCACGGCCTCAGCACGGCTGAGGTTAATTTAACTCTGGAATCCCGTGTTAGCCTCTCCTCGTGCTTCCATTAAGGGTGACTAAGTGGGCTACAGCCGTCGGTGTGAGTGATGCCAGTGGTGTTGTGGCTGCCGTCAGGAAACACAGGCAGGATCCTCCTCTGGAATCTGTTTCTGTGCATCTCCCTTGTCCCTCCTGCAAGGCTCATCCTCAAGGCAGTTATGTATGGATTTAGCTCGGGATACGTATGAATTTAGCATAGCTGCTACACAGACAAATTTCCAGCCACTTTCTCTCTGAGATGTAATATCTTTTGTAGTGATGGTAACTGTTTGCTGCTCTTTGTTCACTATTGCTTCTGCTTAAGTGCAGTGCATTCTTTCTTTGCAACTGCTTCAGAAATATTTTTTCCTGCTTCAAGAAGCTGCCTCGAAATCAGCAGTATGATATTTATCTTGGTACCTACCATGCTGAATTGCTGCCCTAATGAGGAAAGAAAACCACTAACAAGTATGTCCTGATTACTTCAACAGTGTTCAAGAGGGATCTACTTAAACCACCTGGATTTTGCTGAACCTTTTTCCATTCTGGAATATATTTTTTTTTTCTGGCTGATTTCATTGCTCATATTTAGTATGGGCTTGATGAACTCACAAATGAAGGGTTGCAAAAATGAATCACGTATGAATTATAGGCCATCATCAGCTATTAACTTTGTTAAATCAAATGGTAATCAAGTTGCAATTTACAGCATTACTATATTGCTGCTCACACATAACACAGTGCTGCTGTTTTTACAAAACTGAGCAATCCGCTAATGAAAATAATTTTGCTGTGTGAGTCAAATACACCTGCACCTATCTCAGATCAAGAGTACTTAGGGATCTGTCTTGGCTGCCAATGGTTCATTTACGGCTTATTCACTTAGTTTTGATACTGGAAAAATACCATGTATACACAGCAGGAACAGGCTTGTTTTATGTATTCATTCCTTACCTTCCCAGTACCTCCATGAACATGGTGATGTATTGGGATTCCATGTTTTATGGAAGTATTGTTTAGCCTTTGTACAAAATCTCTCCGTCTTTAATCTCTGAAATCCAATTTCTTGCCCTTGAAGCTATCTCTCCTCTTCCAATGGCCAGCTGCATAAAGTTATTGTTGTAAAGTCACATTATTTACCGTTTGAAACTTAGCTTGATAAGCTTCATTTTATTAATGAATTTAATGTTGACTCATAGTTATTTCATGTTTTTCTTCCAAAATCTTGTTATTTGCAGCACTTTACCATATCCACTTTCACACAGAAGAAAAAGTACTTTGGATCTTTCTTTTGGTGCGTAGGGCAATTTTTGCCCAGTAATGAAAGACAGTTTGAGGAGAATTAAATATCTAATCACTGGGACAGATCATAAAAAGAAGATTTTGTAGTGTGTATTGTCTGGGCTTCTGAACAAGCATTATATTCTAGCTAAAATGTCAGCATGAACACAGAAATAAAATGTCCCCCAAGCTGAAGAAAACATGTTTTATTCACAAGGCAAATTTGTGAGGCTCTTCTCATCATAGAAAATATGGTTTATTCCTTTTGTGAAATCAGATATCAGACTGTAAAACACCATTAGAGAAGTTATTAGCCGGTCAAGATCCGCTCCTGAGTCATCATGAGTTTTCTATTGAGGGTGCAAGCAAGCTGGCATATATTAAATGTTGAAATAGAAGAAAAACTGTTAAAGATTGACTGGGAAAAAAGTACACTGGCCAAACTCCCTAGAGCAAAAGAGTTTCCTTGGCCAGGTCAGGCTGAACTAAAAAGTGTCTCTGTGGTAAACAACCAAATGAAAAAAGGAACGGGGTAAAAGAAGAAGTTATCATTCGGCCTGCCTAACCTAATGAACCGAAGCACTCTTACGCTCTCGTGCTGCTTTTCCTCTGCTAGAAAACCTCTTGCCCTCACTCAGTGCATCTGCGTTTTGACTCCTGTGAGATACTGGCCGAGTTCCAAAACTTTTCCGACCGGTATAAGGAGCAGGTGGGTCCCCAACCTGCCAAGTTTGGGAACTTCTGCA